CCACAAAATTCTCACGTGTTGCCCTGAAGCATGGAAATCTTTAACCCCAATGAAAACTTGATTTTTTTTCTTTTTCAGATGGCCCAATATCAAATTTCATCTGTTATGGTTTTGGATCCTTACCACAGTTAGAAGGGTACCAGATTTATGATAAGGTTATGATAGGTGTAACTCTTGAAGCATGTGCTCAGTTATGTCTGTCACAAACATTATTTAAATGTGTTAGTTTTGACTATACGTTTGGTAGTGAAACCTGTCATATGAGTCGATATATTGCAGCCAATGTACATGGTCTGGATACAGACATCATGCCAACCTATAAAGTAATGCATTATGAGAGAAAAGGTAAGATATCCCTCTTAAGTCAAAATGTTACCAGTAAAGATGAAATGATTGCATCATCAATTTAAAAGGATTTTTAAGTATGAATTTGAATCATTCAAAAAATTCAACGTTTTGAAAATTCCATTGATGGAATAGCCAAGGGAATCACCATTTATTATAGCTCGGGATTCTTAGTTTCAGTATTTAATGAATTGGTCAGTACTAGTCACAATTCTGACGACAGAAAACTGCATGCAATTGTCCAGAAGATGAAATGTTCAAACAGCAGTGAAGGATATTGACTGGTAACTGACCAAGGGTTAATTAAGATATCAACACAACCATGAATCATTTATTATCGTCACCGTCTTTATTATACTCTTTGTGCAAACTTTCATACATATTGGACTTGGAGGAATATATTAAGTCAAGTTAAAGCTAAAGAGAATTGACCCTGTTCCTATAAACCAATATAGCTGAATACTCATGACCAATAAATTCCACTTAATGTTTACTAAAGACCGTATTGACCAGAAAAGTCAATTTTCGTTTTGACATTGACATAGTTAAGATTAGGAAATAGAATGAGAACATTTTCAGGTGATCATTTTGAATCGTAAATAAATTCTACATCCAATTTTCTAAAATTACCTCAGAAATCAATCTTCAAGAATTTGATTATTGACCTCACATTATGACCCTAGGTAAAATGGGTCAATGGATTTCGAGTTAAACAGCTAAATCGAGGCATATCTAAGCAAGAATACAGTCAACTCGCATACATGTCAACTCCTCGACAAATTTTTGTTGGTTAACTCTACAAAAATAACATAATGGGGAAAGAGTTTCATATACAATAACTACTTTCATTATAAAAGAGTTCTGGTTATAGATTTTTCGCCTAATAGACAATCACACTTGCAACTGTAAAACATAGATTAGTCTCTTGTGGGTATATCTGTTGTATGGTCATTTCAGCCTTGGCCTTTTCTTCGGTCGAAGTTTTTATTTTATCAAATAAAATAGTATCAAATTAAAAGTATAAGATATAAAAGGTATAAAAATCGTTTTGACAGAATAAAATGGAATCAGGTTAAAGAACGGCAAAATTCTGTTTGCGCTGTTACATGCTCAATAAATGTCCAGTGTAATATTACTGATCTATTCATAGCCATACATTCAATAAGATGACCTCTTCAACTTGTCTCATTATTAACCTCTAGAATCGAACATTAATTGTTCTACGTGAATTCTGACAAGGGCTGTGGCACTCAAGTAATTTACTCTTTCGTATTAATATCAAACAAAATTTAGACCGGTATTACTGTGTTATAAAATGTCTGAAAATTAATTTGATAAAGGAAACATTTTAAAAAAAGTGTTAACTTCCACTCACTATTTATGGACTGATAAAGTTCATAATATGTAAAATCACTTCAGGAATGCCTTGGTGGCAGAAAGCAAACTTTTAAGGAAACTAATTTGTTTTTTTTTTATAACTGGCGGCAAATTCCGAATATTGAATTCCTGTAGTTTAGGCTACCATTCCATTATCATCCATGGTTCAAGTTGGTATTTTCACGATCCTTTGTTAATCCATAAGTTTTAGTTTTCTTAACATTGACTTAAAGTCTCTATATCTGTTGTTTACAATATACTTACAATATCAATGCCAGACAATCCATTAAACCTGATTATACATTTGAACTGAAACCTAGAGATCTTCCAGCTTTATTTTAACTCTATTAATTGACTCATCATTCACCCAGAACTAATTCTAACTTTTATTGAGATGACTGAAGCAATAAGTCCTCATTTAGTCCCAACATAAACCAATTTCTGTCTATTTCTATTGATTCACTTACGCCGTTTCTTCACTTTATTTACAGAAACCCTCGACTTTTTTTAATCAGTGTAACTAAATGGTGATATAAAAACCAAATAAACACGATTGATAGTGTGAACTCTTTAGACTTGATAAGAACGATCGCAGAATTTCAAAGTACGATCGTAACGTTGGCAAGCACAATCGTAAATTTAATTTGATAAGCACGATCACATATCGTTGAGAACACAATGACAGATTTGACCAGTACGTTTGTAGAATTGACAAGTAAGATTACAGGCTTAAAACGTACAAAAAGTTGACAATCACAAGGACAGCCACATACTTGGCTTGAAACTACACACTTGTTTAGTACAAGCACAGACTTGATTATTACAAGCACAGACTTGATTAATGCAACCACAGAATTGACTCGTACAACTGAAGACTTAGTTGGTACAAAGAACCATAGACTTCGGTAAGTACAACTTCAGGCTTGACTTGTTCAACTACAGAAATGATAAGTGCAACCACAGACATGAGTAGTATAACTACAGACTTGACTAGTACAACCACAAACTTGACTTGTACAACCACAGACTTGATTAATACAACTACAGACTTAATTAGTACAGCCATAGATTTCAGAAGTACATCTATATACATTAGTTAGAAGTTCAATCATAGAAGTTCAGTAATACAACCGCAGACTTGATTACAACAACCACAGTTTGATTAATACAACCACACATATGACTAATACAAATACAGACTTGACATGTACAACCGCAGACTTGCGTAGTACAACCACAGACTTGAGTAGTACAACTACAGAAGTATTTTTTAGCTTTTAAGGATGAATAGTTTGCTTTTTCTTTTTCAGATGAATATTTTGCTTTTTCTTTTTCAGATGAATATTTTGCTTTTTCTTTTTCTTTTTCAGATGAATATTTAGAATATTTCTATCCAACACCATATACAGTTGTACTTGGTAATAATGAAAAAACACTGGAGAGGGTAACACCTAACAGGTGTGCCAGGGAGTGCATGGAAGAACGAGACTTTGTTTGTAGATCATTCGATTATCAAGTGAGTAAATACAGTCAACCATGTAATTAAGAGCTTTGACCTTTTCATTTGCACGTTTTCATATCTAATTTAGTTACTTATTATTCCGCAATGATAACTTTTGGTCCAGATGAACACGGAGCATATTCCCTTGAAATTATTATACAAAAATCTGAGCAGTAGACAGTGTTCTACATTGAAATTCTTCCTTCCGTTCAGACTATTGAATGCTATAATGAAATTCCTATTTTGTCTGCAAACTGAAAGTGAAGCAACCATCTTATATTCGTGTGATTGCACATAAATAACCCTAGGCTATACCTGTAGAATGGATGATAAAAAGACAGTTTTTATAACCAGGAAAGTCAATTACATGGCACTGTCAGTTTCAATTAACGGCTGTTGAACCTTTAGATCATTAAGTGGAAAATTATATCTAAATGAAGTGCTGCATTGATTGCTGCCTCACACAACCGGATATCCGATTTCCGCCATCTTTTGGTTGTCAAGGCGATTGTCACATGAGTGTATTGAAATAGATATTAAATCAATAATAAATAGCTGAAGGGGTTAGTAAGATGATATGATACAGGTAATGGTATACAATTGAAACCCTAGTAATTGGGTTGTTATCAACAGTCTAGAAATAACAAATAAATCAGTATTCTAGAAACCTTTTTGAGATACCAGCAAGTTCTTTGTTTGGATAATCTGTAAACCTTAAAATATCCTATACGGACTTGACTCTATGTATTCCTGAACTGGGAGGAAGTTTTGTCTTCACAAATCTTTTCTCTGATCCCCAACCAGGCGACAATCCATCAAAATCACCAGTCGGAGCCTATAGGATCAGGGTTTCTCGGACTAGACGTTATAGTGACATAATATTACCTTACCAATATCACAAATATAAAGATTCTATGTTCAAATACTTCTGTCTCAAAATATTCGATTTTTAATGACGCAAACACAAATAGTTACGATCGAATGCAAATGGAACTAGCATGTCGTTGGAAACCAACCAAACATGTCGTATCTTTATATTGCTACAAGTGTAATCAAATCGTAAAACTATTTTCATGTTGTTCTTGAAAGAAGTTTTTTCTGGTTTACCAATAAAAGCCATGCTAACTTTTTTTTATATTGTATGGTAATAAAAGCTGAAGTTAGGATCTGTAAACGTGACTTTCCATTTCCTACATTCAATTTGTAATTAAACTAATATTAACTTTTATATCTCAACCTTCATGTTTTCATCACAGTTGCAACTTTAATGCTGTTTTTAGGTTATTTCGTGCAATTTGACAAGAATTGATCAGCATGCACTTCAACAAATTTCATAAAGATTGATTTATAGAAAGGTTTTACTCGTATTAAATGAGTTTTAAAGTTTCTAGAATCTTGATTTGTGACTTTTTACAGATTGAAGAAGGAACGTGCTTTTTAAGCACGAAAACCGGAAGTGATGTTGGTGGACTTTATTACCAGGGGTTGGCTCAGGTTCATCATTTTGAAATGAAACCGTTTTTAGGTAATTAGTGTTTTAGGTCGTAGTATTTTAAAAGATGACTTTTATCCCAGTTTTCTATTCCATTCAATATCTTAACCACTATACAAGTTTGTGGAAACAGGCACATTTTAACATTAACTGAATGTTTCTTAATGTCAATTTGAGAAGCTAAATGGAGATTCACCAGGAAGGAATTCTAAATAAGCAGTCTAATTTGTAAATTGATAGACAGCGCTAGGTGAGAAATTACTCCCAAATTTGTGTTTTACAGATTGTGGTGGAATAATTACTGGAGAAACCGGCAACTTTGCTAGTCCCAATTGGCCAAGAAATTATGCTCATAATCTGAATTGTTCGTGGTATTTGAGAGCTCCTAATTATAAGGTTTGTTACTTCTAATTCTTATTAGTTCCCCCATCTTCGTAAACTGTTTAATAGTTTGCATTTGTCAACCATTTTTGACATTATTTATTTTTTGCTCAACTGCATTGTACTGTAAATGGTCATTTTTCAGAATGAATTTCTATTGTTGATTATAACGGGGTTTCTATAATAAAGTTGTATCAACCGCTTAAGCAAATTATTATTATCAATCGCTTAATTTCTGTTTATTTTTTTTCAGGTCATTCATTTTGATTTCAGCCATCTTGACTTAGGACGTCATACCAGTAATACATGTGATGAAGTAAATGACAGATTAGTTGTAATGGAGAAAACACCTCATGGTTTAGTCAGATTCTGTTCTAGTCAGACAATGAATAATTATGTCAGTCAAACTAATAATGTTACCATACAGTTTGTTACTAATATGAATAATGATGCTCTAGGATTTAGAGTATTTTTCAAAGCAGGTATGTCTTTTAATGTGAATAAGTATGTGAATGGTGGATATTCTAGATAACAACCACGTCTGTCGTCTTTTTGTGATCAGGTGGACGGGATCAGGTGGATAGGCGTCTCGACCTCCACCACAAACTATAAATCATTGTATGATTATGATATAACAACTCTTTAAAATATTGTCTAGGAGTAACGTAAACATTTTTGGTGTTTGTCGGTGGAAATCCGCCACGTATTCTCGAAACGATCTTAGCACTAGGATATCATAGAATGATAAAACCTTATGACTAGCGCTTAAATGGTTTCGAAAATACAAATATTCTAGTGCACTTACTATAATCCTGGAAAGATCTATGCCAAAAGGTATGGCTAAGGACCAGCTGGTAGGAAGAATCCTCGTGAACCCAAGTTGTTATCTTTGTAAATGGTTGTCTCTCTGGTGTTGAGAGATAAATAGTTGCTGATGACAAATTGAAAGATTCTTTAAAGCTGAAAATACATTATTACTGTTGCCGAATTACTCTTCAATTCTTATATTTCAGACTGGCCATGTCATGCTATGTTAACTGAAGATAATGGTGAATTCGCTAGTCCTGGATGGCCAGAAAACTATTCCCCAAGACTATCATGTGTTTGGACTATATCAGCACCAGTAGACGCCAAAATATTCCTTCATTTTACCAACATAGAAATAGAAACACAAAGTCTGGGATTATGTGGTGACAATTATGATATATTAGAGATTTTTGATGGTGATTCTTTAGCAGCAGAGAAACTAGGAACATTTTGTGGTCACGAAGAGCCCAAGTCGTTTACTTCGTCTTATAATGTGGTGTTGGTGAGATTTAGAACTGATCAACATGGACAGACTACAGGATTTCATGCTACTTATAAATTTTTATACAAACCTACTACCACCATTCCCCCACCCGTCATACCATCGCAAGATACAGCAAAATATAATAATACCCTTCACAAAGCTTTAACTGCTAAATTCTTTGAACCGGGAAGAATAAGAGAAGAAGTTGGTGGCGATGCTGATGGTCGTAGTTCAGTTTCATATAATGAGCAATCTACTACAGTCTTCAAAACTATGGGTAAGAACTTCTTTGATGGCGTGACATTTGCGAATTTTCTTTCCAAAGATTTGCTTTCCAAAGAATGAACACCTTCTTCTTTAGATAGAATAGGGAGGTTTCACATCCATGCCTAGTCCGAAACATCTGCCTCTATTACAGCCTGTGATAGTTATTTTGAAAGTTATCGGCTGGCCGCAATAGAGGCAGATGTTTCGGTCTCATCATATTTTTAAAGGAAAACTTTTCCATACAATTGTAATTAGTATTGAAACTAGAAAGACTGAAACAGTTTTCTATCGATACTTTGACCACCTTAATCTGTGTAACTTTAGATTAGTTCATATTTTCTGTAGGTAAAGATGGTGGTGGGATAATTGGTCAGGAAACCAGAAGAAAAACAGTGTTTTTACATATAAAAACTATTTTAGCTTTATTTATACCATTATTAATATTATTGATAATAACAATAACAGCACTGGCATTAATATGTAGATATTACAGGTAAGATCTGGCTCATTCTCAATACTATAGAAAATTTTATAGACATTTTCAAACTAACCATGTGCAAATGTTTTGCAGTTTAGTGATTCCTATTGAATTCTGAATGTAGGCGATGCGGGATATAACATTCTGCCTTTCACCAATTGTTATCCAACAAAAATAGAAAATATAACTATAAAATGCACAATCAATCAAGCGGAAATCGTTTTCAAAAGTTTGGATATTTCTTAACGTTAGCAAAAGATTCAACTCAACCAACATTAGTCACCAATGGTAAAAATTAGAATAGTAACTTGAAGCTTCTTAAACATTTGTTATAATGATTGCACCTCGCTCCTTTTTTGGAAATCAATGGAATACAATCAGTAAAAATGTCACCACATCCGTTTCTCGTCCAGATTTTGACACTTTGAAATGTGCCCCAGCTGATGCTATAATAATCTCGTTTCTACATTATTTCTACTGGAAATTTAATAGTCTATAATTTGTTGTCTATTTTAGATCCTGTATAATCTATTACACCTCTACTTATTTGCTCATTTGATGTCAATTATAAACTTGTATTTCCCTCTAAACACAATCTCTACATTAAACTGTCTCAATGTTGCAAATTAAACATGTTATTTTCTTCTCCTTCAAATGACTACAGATTATTGAAGATAAATGTTGTACAAGTTGTATTCTTAGAAACATGTTATATTAGCACAACCTATTACTATCATCATTAAATACTTCATAGAACTTTAATTATACCGACTTGAGCATATTGACATAACCATTACTTTTAAAGGTGTAAACCGGCATATAGCCAGACTTGATTGTTCGGAGGGGCAAATAATAGTGTATGGTGTTTAGTTGCTGTAATGGACTTGGTTGCTTGTAAAAAAAATTTCAGGCGGGAAATCCATTTTTCCAGGGAAGAGGCGTATTTAAATAACACATTTGCATTACCACAGCATGTCTGTGAGGCTAACATTAAATTTACAGATGTCTTTCGAAAATAAAACCAAAACCTCAACTTCGACATGACTATATATCAATATGAAAACATCAATATTCATTGCGTACATACGAGTGTTCTTTGACGAAACATTTTCAGTTTTTTACCATAGAACTCAATCACTTTTCCTGTTGAAGTAGATTGTTGCAATGTTGACCCTTTTTAACCTCTGTTGACTTGAATTGATTCTCTTGATAGCCTATATTTAATGTAATTTTCTTTCTATATACGTGTAAAAACGTGTAAGAAAGCAATACCTATTAATTTCTGTCCATTTCAGGAGAAGGTTACCTAAAAGAAGAAATGTACCAAATTATACATTTACAGAAGAAAATTTATCGTTATATGAAAAAGATAAGTACGTATGCACTGTTTATTGTATTGAAAATAGTGCTAACATAAGTTTTGTGTGTTAACGTATGCTTTGAAAACATACATTGTATGTTATAATCTTTAATGATATATTCATTTTTTTTCAATTGTCAGTGTTGAAAATCGAACAAATGAAGAAGAAACTTGTCGGATAGAATGGTGAGTAATTGTTATGTAAATAATGCCATGTGTATACACGCTACAGTTTTTATCTGGTTTTTTATCCCGGAAGTCATTAAGGTGTTTTAAACAGTTCTGACAACGAACAAATCATTATTATGCGCGAGATTATTGGATCATTCAAAACACAACACAATGCTACGGCCATACTTCTTTAAATAATGACACAATTAAAGGTGGCTTTCTATAGGCTGGGCTCTAAAAAATTGTTTTCCATCCAATGCTTCAGTCCGAACAGAGGCAGAGATGAAGGGCGTAGAACTCGATTTCGTTTTCAGACAGGCTTCAGCAAAAATCTTTTATTTCCAGCACCTCAAATCCAGATATTGCCTTTTCCAATCCAATGTATGAACGTAGATATCCAAAAGAAGAAACAAAGGCAGACGAGGAATTGGAAAAATTAGAAGTGGAAGATATTCCGTGCTGAACTGTTGTTTTTATTCCATGGTTATTTGCAGTCAATTCGTCCATTCATTGTTAAAGAGACGAGATCGGTGTGCACTTTCTATTTGTTGTTGATGGTTTTTGAACAGGAATGCTGTCTTTGATGAATAACGTTTACGCCCAACCAAGATAACATGCCAAAGTATTGAAAAACGTGTTTAGATCTACTTGTGGATTTGAAATTGATCACAGAATACAATTTTTCTATATAAGTGGATTGAGTGACCGCAGTACATTGACGTTTCTGTCGAGAATTTAAAAGTAACATCAGTTTGGTCTTGATAGTATGGAACCGCTATGAGTATGGACACGATATGGAGATCATCAAATATTCGTTAATTAACATAGTAAACACTTTAAATTTCTCTTTCTTTGAGTGATATAGTGAATCTTTTCTTCATTTTCCCGGAAAACGATGTTGACACAAGCCATTTAAAGTGTTCTTTTTAGTTGACATAAGTCTCTAGTTGTCTACCAATGTTTGCTTCCATTGGCGAAAAGACGTTCATTCTATAGATATTCAATGGCGACCTGAATTCATTATCAAATCGAACAAGCAAAGGTTACCACTAAGCATATAAAATGGCCATTAGGAAATGAAAATTTTAATCTATTGATGAGTAAATAGTTTGGAGGGTAAATTTCTATGACTATAACTCTTCATGTAAATCAATCGACATTCAAAATGGCGCCCAATCGATTATCAAATATCGTGATTTCTCGTAAACGTGAGGAACTGTGCTCTCCATGTATGAAAATCAATTTGTGTATAGATTTAAAGAAGGTAATTGGTTTCACCAAGATAATCTTATACGTTTGTTAGTATGTAGTCTATTGTTAGGCAGGATTTATGATCACATATTATAAAATAATACATCTTGTACATAAAATAATATATCTTGTACCAAAGATCGATACTTATTTTCAATTTTATATATTGAACTGCTCTTTCTTTCTAGTTACACATCAGTCTATCATTATTCTTACTGAAATTTAATATTTTCTTCAAAGAGTTTGTAAAAATTATCAATCAAAATGAATTATTTGTATTGTTCTCTGTATTTTATTAGAACAAGTATGATCAAGTTATTTCATTCGCACCATGCGGATGGTAAGAGCAAGAAAATGTGACTGTGGAACATTCTCCAACTAAATATAATTAAAGTACAAAAACTGTGCTGTTTCTTTAATATCGTTCTCGATAAACATTCAATGTAAGCCGACATTTTTGTCCACCGTTTTCAATTCGTTGATTTTTTTGAGTAATACTTCACTAAATCTAACGACATTTATAGTTTGTTCACCATTTAAATTGACTTTATGTTTCGTAATACATTGCAGCTTGGTTTATTTGACACCATTTTCACGCTAGCGATTACAGCCAATCATTATAGCCCCGATTACACACGCAGCAAAATTGTTGTTTTTCTGCTTGGCTGTATACACTAGTGTACAATCTAATCAAATTGGCTATTGCAGGCAAGGTATTAGATATAGTTCGTAATGACTTGACATTGTGAAGATAATTCCATAATTGACAAGGAATGTCTAGATCGGTATTTTGAACAGAATTTGAATTGCAAGAATAGTATCATTTATAATATTTATTTGCATAAACTTTCAAATCCGATAAAGTTTCTAAATGTACATCATATGTAAAGTCATTATTAGGTGCCCTGAGAAAGAAATCATGCACTGCATCAGTAACATGTTTATGCTGTACATCAATTCCTGCTTTACGTAATCGTTCTACATACATTAAAGCATCATCTCGGGTTAAATCATGTTGACAAGTTAACACAAAGGCTGGCGGAAGTCGAGACAGATCTTTAGCCATTAAGGGAAATGCATAGGGATTTATTATCAACGTTTCTAATCTTTTTGCTAGTGTTGTATTTAGAACATCATCAATTTTTGGTGGAGTTCTTCTAAACTGAGGAGGAAGCAGACTTTGATCCACAAATTTGGTAAATTTAGATTTTTTTAAAGCTGGTGTGAGATGATTATTTGATAAACACACAGCGATATTTTCATCAGTTGCCACTTCACCAAGATAAGGTAAAATAAATTTGATCATAACTGAACTAGGAAATAACGTTATCTCATTATGGGTATAGCTGGGTAGTTTAAAATCCCAAGCTTGGAGTACGGAATATATTATTATCTGGAACCGCAATTTAGGAAGTCTAGATTCCTTCTCGTCTGAAAGTCTGAGAGCTACTGCTGCTGCTAGGTTCCCTCCTGCACTGTCACCTAAAATAATAAAGATTCAATAAAAGTATTTATTGTGTATTGATGTATTGGTGTCTGAATATGATTTGAAATGGAGCTTGAATTGAAAATATCATCTAAATTGTTTGTGTCAAATCTCTGCTACTCTTCGCATAATGGATCAAACAAATAAAAAACAAAAAGGAAAAAAAGAGACAGGGACACAATGAAGCCCACTATACTAGCACCATCATAATTAACACAACACAAAGATATCTTACCAGCTACACCCACATTGTCACTATCAACGCCAAATTTGTGTCCATTTTGTAAAACATGAACTGTTGCAGTAACACAATCATCGAACGCTGCCGGAAATGGGTGCTCTGGACTTAATCTATAGCTGAAAGAAGTAATAATATAAGGGCTATACGTGTTTAACACATTAATCTGGCTCTTGCGGTACAAATTGTTCGTGACTTAGAGTGAAAGACATACTATACTGACTTGGGTGTACATAAAGTTGGGAGTACAAACTTAGATATTGCACGACCTCAGCCCACTTGGAAACATTAGGCCTACTACATCTATGTGAACCATTTTATCAGAGTTAATTGAATGAACTTTTCTTCTTCGACTTGAGACTATAGCTGTGGAAATAAAGATTACTGGTACTCACTCTACAGATACCACAACAATATTCAACGTCCTAGCAAGATCAGCTATACCTCCTGCATAAGCAGCTACAAGAGAACATATATTCAATCATAGAAAAAAATATTAAAGGGCTATCAAAGAGTATTTTCTGTTTGTCCAATATACATGTAGATCAAATTAGTATACAAATTAGTGTCAACTTGCAAAAGGCCATTAGAACTGGCAGCTGATTTACAGCAATATCAAATGCATCAAAAGGATCAATTTATCTGCATATAAAATCTTTTCAAGATTAAATAGTTTGACAATGAGATTTTGTACCTGACGATAAAAACATCCAGCCTCCACCATGAAAATAAACTATAGCCGGTGATTTACTGGATACTGTATTTGGTGTGAAGATCATCACTGGTATACCACTGAACGTTGTATTCGTCACCTTGTTAGTAAAGGGAGATAATCAACAAATTTGAGAATACACTTCCAATTCCATGGCTATCGGAATTACTAGAATTCCACAGATTTGACAATGATAGCTCAGCAAATATACTCTATATGTATGTATTTATAGCCATAATGTTCAACAGATTAAATAGCCGGATATCTGCATTCCACGGCAATATCGAACTTTCCATTTTGAGTATGAGAAATTAAACATCAGCAATCCTTAATTAATATACTTTCAAACAGAATTTCAATCAAGGACTATAAATACTTACAGTGATATTTTCATCATTTAAAGGAGATACCATTGTATAATGTTGGTATCGTCTTGCCAACTCTATACCAGAACCAAACCCCAGTTTTACACCCATTGATATCTATATTAGAACAAACATTTTCAGTATTTTTATCGCATAAATTGTGTCTTTTTAAGGAATGAATGTCGATCTTTATATCGTTATGGGGAAATAACGGCAAGGCAAAATGTCCTGGCGAATGTCACAAAATTAAAATTTATTCCTTATATTTACATTGGCTTGTCAATCATAACGTTGCAGCGTTTATTGGGTCACAATGTTATCAAGATATAGATTTCAGCGTTTATTGGGTCATTATGATATCAGGTATGGTTGGGTATATTGAAGAACAATCATTAGTTCTGTCAATATTTACAGAAATATCATCGACAAAAAGCCCTTTCCTATTTCAGTTTGAACGCATGAATATCTTAATGAAAATGCTTTCCCTTTTTTGGGTGAATCGGGGGGCAAGAAATCTTCATCCTTTAGTCATAAACCTTCTAATCAAGCAGATTTGAAAATTCTGGAGATAAAATGGTTTTATTCGATCATGGCAAAATAAAAGTATTGACAATAATTCCACGTTCCTACTCATATTTTGAAAGATTCGTAGTTCTCTTAACATGTCTTCAATAATCATTGTCCATTAATTCATGCATGGATAATATAAGAATAGCCTGTAGCTATAGACGTGCTTCCGACACAGATATCACTGACTTGCACAATAAAAAACAAAAAAACATTCAGCGCGATACCCGAGTTAGGTAAGGAGAAACAATCGAACGCCTACTTTCTATTTTTACTATATGACCTACTTAAGGGTGCAGAGAAGTATAGAAGATGCTTACCAGTAAACTTGAGATTTTGTGTTTTGCATAGAATAATTGGATTCTAGACTTTTGTCTCAATCCATCTGGTAATGGTGTATATAAATAATACCCCATAACGGCACATATTACAGGAATGAACAACACTCGCGCTAAGGTTCCCATTGTACACAACTTTAAAGTAATTTAGAATGGGTGTATTCGATGTTCTTGTTAAGGTGTGAACACAGAGTAAAATTAAAGGAATATTACTTCTTAGAATGGACATTTTAATCTCAGACTTTGTCAATAAGGGAATATATATCCATCAGGTGGGCGTAAAATCTAGAATACATAGCCATATCTCCATTTAACTTAGTTTAATGGTTTATTACTTGGTTTTATAGATTTTTTGTTATAGAAGGATTTTGTCGTATAGTTTTGACACCAGATATGTCCACTAATGAACAAATACTCATTTTGTTTAACAATTTCATCCTAAAAGGTAGTACACATTTGTAAGCATTTGTAAGGGAAACATTTGTAAGCATGCATTGAATTTCTTCTAATACCAACCGTGTCGGTGACAATATCCTATACCGTCTCTCGATAAAATGTAAAATATAAAAAGTAGACCTATTCAACATTACAGGGACAAACGCGACAAACTCTCGTACACAATATTCTGATTAGGTAAGTTAGTAGGACCTTTAATGACGAGTCTCTACATATGTATTTTTTTTACTTTACAGTCTATGTCTAGTATATATTTTTTCAACAAGAAGGGAGATAATATACGCATTTCCCATAATCGTAGACAAAGAATGTTAGGATTGTATTATTTAATGGAATAAAACTACAGAAAGAAATAGAATACTATTTGATAGTCCAGTATACCATAAACAATACCAGTACGATGTTATATTTCAATTTTAAACCAATATTACCTGAAAAATATATTAAAAGATATAGCAGATCACGCCCAGATAAATTCACTTCGACATGCAGTTGGTGGAGTTAGTTAAATCATTATGAAAATCTGTTGAAGATTTGGGGGGAACACATTTCTTGGGACCCGAATATCACCGATCCGAATTTTAATACAAATGGTAAGACAAAACGCATAGCTCGAAAATAGAGGCTTACAGGTTGGTGGTTCCAGGGACTACAGTAAAAAACGTATTAAGTGACCACGCAGGGAAAAATTCAAAAACGGTCTCTTACTGGAGGTGGTCTCTTATGAGAGAATTGAGTCGGCTGAAACAATTTCATTCATTTCTTTTATTTCATTCTATGTATTAGAAATATACAAAATAACAATATAACATTATAGATAATATTTACATTTTTTTAATTAGGAAATCTTGTATAGAAATTTGTCGATTACTTCTATTAATTTTTTTATTAACTGTCATATCTTTTAAATCCATAATTGTATGCAGCATAAAAATTATCAACAACTACCTGCTATATCAGCTTCTGCTGGAAGCGGACGTAAACTTGTCAGCTTGAAGCGTCCGTGAAAGGGACATAACTAGTGCACAAACTTGGGCAATTTAGCCGGTGACCAGTGCGTTGGACTTTCTTTGTGTTAGATATTGATATTCCGAAAATGCAATGAAAAAATGCAAGTATATAATGTATCTACACGAAACCCTAACGTAAGACATCCACTATCCAATATCTTCCTGGTACATCGTTCAAAAATACTTTTTACATTGAGTTTGAAACTATGGACATGACAAAACCAGTATGGTATCATGTGGTGTTATTTTATATTTTATTGGAAACAGATAGTTTAAGACCTAATACATGTATATATTTTCTTTGTGTTTGAATCATGACCATAGATTTTCTATTTAAAACTCTATGATCATAACTCAATAATAATACAAAACCTTGAAAACTATATTTTCATTTTCATTTTGTGAATCATGTAGGTTTGTTGACTAATTTTTACCGAACGACAATAATCAATACAGATGTAAAGATGAAAATAATTCAACTGAAGGGTTATCTAAGAGACCTTTGAGCGAATTATCTTTAGAATCCTTTTGGAATTTTAAGTCACAACTCAGGATGTTAACTCATGTCTATCATTATCAGACTTGTCTTAATTGAGATGAGATTCGGCGAGTATAACAATGCTCAAGTTTACACACAAATATTATGGTTATAGTGGAAAAACCGATAATCAGTACATAATGACAATATGACAGAAAACTGGGAATATAAATCATCAATCAAAACACAAGGTATTAGATTATACTGGATGTTAAATTCGTCTCAGATCTTTGTGCAAAGAAATTATTGAACAATAGCGCCAATACAACAATTGGTCACAATTATTTTTAGCGATCTACTGGCGTTTAGTAGCGACACAATTGGGAAAAGACCAATTTGTAATTGTTATTGTGGTCTGGTGTTATGATGATTACGAATGTACAAAATATGTTATATTTTCTAGTATTAGTTTAAATAAGAATACTTACAATATATGTTATATTTTCTAGTATGAGTTGAAATAAGAATACTTACAATCTATGTTATATTTTCTAGTATTAGTTTAAATAAGAATACTTACAATATATGTTATATTTTCTAGTATGAGTTGAAATAAGAATACTTACAATCTATGTTATATTTTCTAGTATAGTTTAAATAAGAATACTTACAATATATGTTATATTTTCTAGTATGAGTTGAAATAAGAATACTTACAATCTATGTTATATTTTCTAGTATTAGTTTAAATAAGAATACTTACAATATATGTTATATTTTCTAGTATTAGTTTAAATAAGAATACTTACAATATATGTTATATTTTCTAGTATGAGTTGAAATAAGAATACTTACAATCTATGTTATATTTTCTAGTATGAGTTGAAATAAGAATACTTACAATCTATGTTATATTTTCTAGTATGAGTTGAAATAAGAATACTTACAATCTATGTTATATTTTCTAGAATGAGTTGAAATGGAAATACTTACAATCTATGTTATATTTTCTAGTATAGTTGAAATAAGAATACTTACAATATATGTTATATTTTTTAGTATAGTTGAAATAAGAATACTTACAATCTATGTTATATTTTCTAGTATGAGTTGAAATAAGAATACTTACAATATATGTTATATTTTCTAGTATGAGTTGAAATGGAAATACTTACAATATATGTTATATTTTCTAGTATAGTTGAAATAAAGAATACTTACAATATATGTTATATTTTCTAGTATAGTTGAAATAAGAATACTTACAATATATGTTATATTTTCTAGTATAGTTGAAATAAGAATACTTACAATATATGTTATATTTTCTAGTATAGTTGAAATAAGAATACTTACAATATATGTTATATTTTCTAGTATAGTTGAAATAAGAATACTTACAATATATGTTATATTTTCTAGTATAGTTGAAATAAGAATACTTACAATATATGTTATATTTTCTAGTATGAGTTGAAATGGAAATACTTACAATATATGTTATATTTTCTAGTATTAGTTGAAATAAGAATACTTACAATATATGTTATATTTTCTAGTATTAGTTGAAATAAGATGTTGAAATTGTTCAGATTTACTACCTATAACATAACTCTCTCCACAATCATTAATAATGTATTGATAACATTGAATGGCCTTGTTCATAGATCTGCAAATACATAAAGCACATTATTAAAAGTAAGCGAACTGACCACCACCAACGTAAAAGCAACCATCCTAACGGTGAAATAATGAATAATTCATAAGACAAATTTCAACATAAGAAGCCGTATAGATAAAACATGTGATAGAAAAGCATTGGTGCCCATTGAATATTCAAACACTTGTTTATTGAATTTTATTCAAATTGGAAATGGTTCTCTCTTTAATATATCAGTGGAAATAACACTGATATCTAGATGCACTGTGTTAACGAAGCGCTTTGTGAAGGTTAAGAAAAAACTTTCATGATGATATAAAGGGTTTCTTCACAATGATGGTACAAGATTTTAGAATGAGCTCGTTCGAGTGTTCGACCTGACGACCAACCCTAACGTCCATTTGGGATGATGAAATACATATTTCAAGTCATGACATTGCTTCGTGTAGGTTTGAACAACACAAAATGATGGAGATAAATCTCTCTTTATTCTTTGACATTTTAATGAATAAGCCATATTGGAAAAATACATGATGCCATATAAAACAGTAGATCAAGGACAGAGACTAGAGTTGACAACCCATCATTGTGAATTATGTAAGGTAATTCGACTCTGGAGACAAAGAAACCTTTTAATCCATCAGGTTTACAGCATAAAAATAATACGCCCTCGGTTATGAATTATATACGCAAAGTTAACATTACTTACTCACAAAGAGCTAACTTTGCCTCCCCTGTGGCATTATTGAAATCATCAATAAATTGTTTACAATAAGTTAATTCTGCTGACATCAGTTCCAATGTTTTAGGACAAGCACTCCACGTAACCTGAATCCCTGAATGAAGATAAAATTTACAGAATCAAAGCATAAGATAGTCTTAATTAGGTACATGTTCTTTTTACCACACGTCCTGATGAAAGTACAAAAGGTCCACTGAAGTGAGCTGCAAGACATGCAACATAAAATGATTTAGTATCGAATACATTGAAATCGTCAATTGTTTTATATTTTAATGAAGTCAAAAGATTGAAAACAACCAGGACATATCTGAATTTACAAAAGACGCTATATTAAGTTTTCTCATCCAAGTCTTGGTACAAAGCACTTGTTTGCATATGAATTCTGTTTTGTTTTTATACGCGCAAATATTCTCCTATACATAAATGTTCAATGCTGTTACTTATAACAGATGTCAAAGGTAGAAAATAATATACTATATAATAATTGGGGGACTTTGCTTTCAGCAAAGTCCCAGTTTGTAATCGAAATGTCAATTCTTTTTTTTTTTTTTTTTTTTTTTTTTTTTTTTTTTTCGTTTCGTCCACACCTTCCTGAGCTTAGACTGCAGTAGTTGCAGGTACGTTTCAAATTTCATAGACCTTCTATATAGGAGACGATGTGCATAAATATAAATTAGAACATTTTTGCAAAACCGGAAGTGCCACAGTTCAACATGTGCAAAAAGTCGAAAATCGGCTCTAGAAGGCGTATTTTTGCATCAATTTTCTTCGGGTTTTCATTTTTACAATCTACCTGTAATTTCTGACCTGATAGCACTTGAAAAATTACGAAAATCGAAAATTCGTCGCTCACTTTTTTCGATCAAATTTTTCGATTTTTTTGCAACTTTTTTGCTTTTGCATCGATTGATCTGAAATTTAATATGCAAAGGGACATCACCAAAGCAAATAATATGTAGTTGTCAAATA